ACTGCTGTGATCCTCCCCCAAGCCAGACCAATGCTGTGACCCCCAGCCCTCAGAGAAATGAAATGAAAAAAATATATTAGAAATGTAATCATATAAGATAAAAAAGGAAAAAAAGGATATTTTCAGCGTTGTATGAGAAATTTATGTGGGAGAGATGAGAAAAGTAGGAAAAGCTCTACCAAAAGAGAGGAGAGACATAAAAAAGAAAGAATAAAAGGAGCTAAAAAACTATAATAAAAATGGAGAAGCCCCTGTTTTTGAAACAAGTAAAAATGAAAAAATAAAAATACAATCAAAGGGAAAGAAAAAAACTAAACAAAAAACAATGTAAGAGAAAAAAGGAAAGAAAAAACTAATGAAAAAAGCAAAAAATAAGCTGTCTTCCTGACTTCTTTACCCTCATTCTGAGCCTGTTTGCTTCATGAGCATTCATTCCCCATGAGACAGAGGCCTCAAAGCTCTTGCCAGATTACCCAGCTGGCCCATCAGTGTCCCCTGACAACAATGAGGCCTTCCTGGGAGATGCAGCTCAGGGCAAGGATGGCCACTCAAGCTCAGCAGGCATGCGAGAACCAGCCATGGTCTAGGACCCTGTGGACTATTCCTCCATGCACGTGGTCTTCCTACAATGGTGGTGCCTTCCAACAGCAAAGTCAATGGAAGAACGCCTGTGCCCCTGTGCCTGGCGTTCAACCCCAGCTGCTGGATCCTGTTTGAATCTACTTGCTGCTCTAGAAAGCAGCCTAGTCCAAACTTGCAACACTGTAGGCCAAACTTTACCTTTCCTAACCCTCCATGGGAAAGCAGGCTGATAGGCTGGCCTCTGCCCATACCAAGCACCTACCTTCCTTATCTCTAGACCTTCTCATTGGCTCCTGAAGTCTCCTGCTGCTTTACAGTGACCCTGTAGTGATGTTTCTGTGAAGAATCCCTCAGACAGAGGTGGCTGAAGGCCACTTTCCTAGCTACCAGGAGTAGCAGCATGATGCCTCTAGTCTGCCCTGTTGTTCCGCTCTATAGCATGGATCTTTAAATCAATTCTGTATTATTATTACTATTTTTGAGACAGAGTCTCACTACATCACCCTAGGCAGAGTGCCATGATGTCACAGCTCACAGCAACCTCAAACTCTTGGGCTTAAGTGATTCTCTTGCCTCAGCTTCCCAAGTAGCTGGGACTACAGGTGCTTGCCACAATGACTGGACATTTTTTTGTTGTAGTTGTCATTGTTGTTCAGCTGGCCTGGGCCGGACTGGGTTTGAACCTGCCACCCTTGGTGCATGTGGTCGGTGCTATAACCACTGTGCTATGGGCACTGAGCCTAGAAATCAATTTTGATGGTAAAGATGTGTTGTTGAAGTTGTCCTCTGCAAAGTGAATAATCAGACAAGTCTTACCTACCCCAGCGTCCCCAACTGGCAGCAACTTGCATAGGCTTCATGGCAGACGTCAGTCCAACTTTTATTTAGCTAGTATTAGCGTGATTTATCTTTTTCCATTCTTTTACTTTTAACCCATTTTTACCTTTAATTTCTTGTAGGTAGAATATAGTTGGTTCTTGTGTTTTCAGTCCAATCTGATAATCTTTGCCTTTTATTGGGAGGTTTAGACTATTTACATTCAATGTGATTACTGATATGGTTAAATTGAGTCTCCTACCTTGCTATTTGTTTTCTATTCATCCCATTTGTTCTTTATTCCCTTTTACCTCTTTTTCTCTTCTTTAGGATTAATCAAGTGTTTTTGTAATTCCATTGTTTTGTCAGTTTGGTAGCTCTGATTTTTGAAGGTAGAATATCATAAGCTAAAAATGTGGGCAGCGCCCATAGCTTAGTGAATAGGGCAGTGGCCACATACACTGGTGCTGGCGGGTTCAAACCTGGCCTGGGCCTGCTAAAACAACAATGACAACTGCAACAAAAATTATAGCCGAGCATTGTGACGGGCACTTGTACTCCCAGCTACTTGGGAGGCTGAGGCAAGAGAATGGCTTAAGCCCAAGAGTCTGAGGTTACTATGAGCTATGATGCCACAGCACTCTACCTAGGGTGACAGCTTAAGACTCTGTCTTAAAAAAAATAAAAAATAAATAAAACTAAAAGTGTGTACCAGAAACCCTAAAGCAACTACTAAAATAACAAGCTAAAGAAAATCACTTTTATTTATTTATTTATTTATGTTTTTAGAGACAGAATCTCACACTGTTGCCCTCAGTAAAGTGCCATGACATCACAGCTCACAGCAACCTCCAACTCTTGGGCTTAAGCGATTCTCTTGCCTCAGCCTCCTGAGTAGCTGAGACTATAGGTGCCCACTACAACACTTGGCTATTTTTTGCTGCAGTTTGGCCAGGGCCAGGTTTACACTGGCCACCCTTGGTATATGGGGCTGGTGCTCTATTCAGTGAGCCACAGGCACTGCCCAAGAAAATCACTTTTCATATAATATAGAAACTTACAATAGTATGCTTCTTTCCTCCTAGGGTTCTAGGGGTCCTCAAACTTTTTAAACAGGGGGCCAGTTCACTGTCCCTCAGACTGTTAGAGGGCTGGACTATGGGCCTGGGACGAGTCAGCTGCTAAGCAGGACCAGCGCGGCAAAAACACCCAGCAGGCTGGATAAATGTCCTTGGTGGGCCACATGTGGCCTGCGGGCCATAGTTTGAGGACCCCTATTTACTTTCATGTATTCATAAATCCCACACTACTTTATAATTTTTGTTTAAACTACCTTTTTTTTTTTTTTTTTGAGACAGAGCCTAAAGCTGTCACCCTGGGTAGAGTGCTGTGGCATTACAGCTCACAGCAACCTCCAACTCCGGAGCTCAAGCGATTCTCTTGCCTCTACCTCCCAAGTAGCTGGGAATGCCCAGCTGTTTTTTGGTTGCAGTCGCCATTGTTTGGTGGCCTGGGCTGGATCCAAACTTGGCCAGCTCAGGTGTATGTGGCTGGCACCTTAGCTGCTTGAGCCAGGTGCCAAGCCTTAAACTACCTTCTAAAGAGGACCGAAAAATAATATTTTTACCCATGATGTTACTATTTTCAGGGCTCATTCCTCTGTGCAGGTATTTTCTTTCTGCCTGAAGGACATCTTTAAACTGGTCTTGGCTTTTACAAGTTTGAAAACACCTTCATTTCTTCATATCTATTATACTGTTGTCTGTCTACCAATCAATTGAAGTTTCAATTTTAATTGTGATATTTTTCATCCCTGGATTTTTTGGGTACTTTTTTCATTCTGCTAACGTATTTTTATAGTCATGTTATTTAGTCCCCTTTATTTAAATATTGGTCACTCTAATATTGTTGAGTCTTTCTAGGCCTGTTATTTTTCCTGGCTCTTGTCTATTTTATGTGTTTGGGATTTTTGACTATAAACATATATATATATATATACATATATTTTTTGAGATAGTCTTACTTTGTCACCCTTGGGAGAGTGCCATAGCATCATAGCTCACAGCACCCTCAAACTCCTGGGCTCATCCTCTTGACTCAGCCTCCCAAGTAGCTGGGACTATAGGCACCCAGGTTAGAGTCAGGGTCTCACTCTTGCTCAGGCTGGTTTCAAACCTGTGAGCTCAGGCAATCCACTTTCCTCAGCCTCTCAGAGTGCTAGATTACAGGCGTGAGCCACCACACCCAGCCTGAACTTACATTTCTTAAAACTATTTCTGAGTTCTTCCAAAGACAACCTGTTTTGCTTCTGTCAGTTACCTGGAAGGCACTGAAAAGCTGTTTTAACTCTTTAAATTTTCAGATTGAGACTTTTTAAGGCTACTTAGGTTGGGCGGCGCCTGTGGCTCAAAGGAGTAGGGTGCTGGCCCCATATGCCAGAGGTGGCGGGTTCAAACCCAGCCCTGCCCCAAAACTGCAAAAAAAAACCCTCAAAACAGACTACTTAGATTGCACAAACAAACCATCTTAAGGGCTGTCTGTGGTTTATGCACAAACACACAGTGTATATACCGTAGAACCTCCATATAGTTGACTACCACCCTACATCATCCACCTCAAGTTGACCTAATTTTCACAGACTGGACATAACACCACACATACACATCAGTACAGTAGGCCCAGTTCCTTATGTTGGCCACTTCTATATGATCAGTTTGTTACATACACACACATACCCACACTTTCAAGGGAGATGTTTTCCCTCAGGACAGGCAATCTTTCCTGCTGTTCCAGGGGCTAAAGGGGAGGAATAGGTTAAGCAAACAGATTTACTCACAGTTTACACTTACACTAAGTCTATTATCTTAGAGTCCCACACCAGGAGATCTATTGGCCCTCTTACCTTGGGCCTTAAGCTTTGTCTGCTCTTCTGCTGCCTCTTCCACTATCTTGGACTGTGAAACTTAATGACATCAGAATTATCAAACACAACACAAAGTATGTTTTTTACTTAAAGAAATAATGGGAGATAAATTTAATGAGGTAATACATGAACAGTACTTACAATAGGGACTTGCCCTCGCAAAGATGATATTAGATTTCTTTCTTTCTTTCTTTCTTTCTTTCTTTTTTTTTTAGCTTTCACCTTATTTACTTGATTATTGTGTTAAGACGTTCATGTTTTACACTTAACAGATTTGACCTGTACCCTTGCAGTATGCTCCATAGGTGTGGTCCCACCTTTTACCCTCCATCAAACCCCTTCCTTTCACATCATTTTTCTCCTTCAAGGATTTCTTTATATTATCCGAAAAAGTTGTAATGAGTAACAGCACACATCACATGCCATAGTCCAATAGTCACCAAGTCCCTGGCCACTGAAGCCTGTTCTACCATGTAGTCATCCATAACCTTGTGTTTACACTGACAGAGGGAGATCAACTACAAATTATTTACTAGATAACAGGCTCAGCTACTGTCACAGATAAGCCCAAGGTCCAGAGCAGAATGCTGGCAGACACTGATCTGAGAAATGTCATCATCACATAAGCCTGAGTATATACAGTCTTTTAGCATCAAAAAATCTGAGAATGAGCATACACGTAAACAAAAATGTTTTTAAATTTTGTATTATTTATGGTGGACAGTCATCATTTCCCCCAACAGCCATCTGAAGCCAATAGTCCTGGTTATTAAAAATTACGAAGTTGTATAAATGTTCCCCTCCTTTTTGAAAACCATGTTCATTTTCTCTCCATGAAACAGGGCTGTCTGCAAAGCCTTGGACAGACAATGTCACCCACGGAGCTAACTTCGGTTCATCAAAGTAGTGACTGAAAAAACAAGATAATTCTTAATAAACAGGGAAAGAAAGGAATGTCTACATTTTTAAAAAATTTGTTCAGGATAAGTGTTATTTCTGATGTTCTAATGAAGCTGAAATGTTAGCTTTAATTGATAACAATTAGGAGATGTAGATTAAATTCCTAATGCCATGTTGTGAATTCCATAAACCCACAATCACAGAACAAATTTCACCTGTCCCCCATCCTTATTCTGGAAGGTCATTTAAGATTAAAAGAAATCAAAACAAAAATAAAATCCCATAACATATATAAGAACAGTTTCTCTCTTATTAAGAGTGCCATTCTCAGAGTCTCAGTTAACCGAAACACCACAAGATTAATTCATCAGATTTTTGAAATCCAGACATCTTACTCAAGAATATCAAAGTACTAAACTAATAAATGTAAAAAAAAGATGTTGGGTTTAAAAAGAAAAACCTTCAAGAATTAAATCTGACAATTTAAAAGGGAAGATTAAGAAGACATACTTACTAAATAGGATTATGCTCAATTAATCATCTTTTCAATATAGGATTTGAGTTTCCTTACATTAGACACATGGTACTTATTTACATAGTGCCCCCCAAATGGAAAAATCTATTCTACTATACATAATTCTTGACATATTATTAATGCCCAGTGATACACAGAATTTTGGAGCTGGAAAATATCTTAGATATGACTTGGCACCCATCACTCTGTGGTTAAAGTGCCGGCCACATACACCCAGGCTGCTGGGTTCAAACATAGCCCAGGCCTTTTAAACAATAACGACAACTACAAAAACAACAAAAAACACAGCTGGGCATTGTTGCGGGGACCTGTAGTCCCAGCTACTTGTAAGGCTGAGGCAAGAGAATCACTTAAGTTCAAGACTTTGAGGTTGCTGTGAGCTGTGACACTACAGCACCCTACACCAAAGGTAGGAGATATAGTGAGACTCTGCCTCAAAAAGAAAAAAAAAAATCTTAGATGTGATTTGGATTCAGATGGTCAACTTACCTCCCCACCCATTTCAGAATTAAATATTTTGCAGAACTTCAATATGTGAAACAGATCGTAATTTGTTCCACAGATTATGGAACATAATTTGTTCCACAGATTGATGTGTTTTTAAGTGATATTATAACTTCAACAGCACCAAAATGGTCTTGAACAGGGAAAATGAACAATTATTTTCAAGGTGCATATTTAAACTCTGCTCTTTTGCTTTTCATAAGAAAAGAAGTATTGGGAAACGGAATTTTCCCACCAGCAAGGATAAATATGTTGTTTAAGAAGGTAATGTTAGTACACTTTGAGCCCAAGCAAGGAAAAAAGGGGACCCTGCAATGTGGAATATCAGCACTACCCCTAACACGTCACAGTGGCACTGACAAGCAAGATATAAAAGGCAAAAGGTTCTCACCAGAGCTGTTCTAGTAAGAGACATATCTTCTCTGGAAGTATGAAACCAGTGATTGTACACAAGTAAGCTTTTGCCAGCACTGTGCTTGGCTGAGGACAGCAATAGGTTGATATGAAATTATTAGGCTCATTATTTCTGTCACAAAAGAAAAAAGAAAGAAAGCAACATTTATAGCCATCGCATTATCACTTCCAAATATTAAGCTGGTACTAAAAATAAGCAGCAAACTAAAGCCCTACAAAATCCAGGGAGTTCAGATACCCACAGGCTGGCATTACTGAAGACAGCACCAAGCCAATCAAAGAGCTCCAGAGCACTGCAGGACACCTCCGGCATTCCCTCGAGTTCACCACTCTGCAGCACGGGGCACTGGAGATCACTCAAGGTGCTCAGGGATACTTTGGGCTGATGCTCTTGAATTTGGTAACTGGAAAAGTATGACATCAGCAACGATTCTTGTATACCTTAAAACAAACCATATAAATCCATTTGAATACCATAAACAAGTGCAGCGATTCCCTGAACCTACCCCATTTCCTTTTTGGAAGCAAGTATGATTAAGTAAGGGGGAAGCAGTGCAAAACTGTATTCAAATTGAAACCACTTAAAGCTGTTTCCAACTCCTTGTGCCCAAGTTCTGTAAGCATTCATCTTCTTTCATACTTTTCCTGGAAAAGTACAATACTTTCAGATCATACTCATACTAGCTTTATCATTTGCTCCAAAAAGAAAATTACAACTTAATACATAAAACCAAAAGCATTCTTGATGTACAAACGACATTAAAGAACTCTACAGAGAAAGGAGCACATTTGCATAATCTCTCATTAAAGAAATCTTCTGGAGGAAATGAATGATGATAGGATCTCACTGAAGCCTGCCTTTGAAAACCTAGTAAAACCCAGTATAACTTTTCAGGGATGTTTATAGAGCCAAAAGCCTTGGAAGATAAAAATAGTGCCCTGCTCCAGGCCAAAGAGCAAGCCTGCTTAATATCGAGTATAATAGAAATAATGTCTCCTTCCCTCTCTCTGAGGCAGAGATCAGCAGGCTTACTGCCCTTCGTGAAAGATTTCAGCTCCTTAAATTCCAGGTTCCTGTCCTATAAAGCAACCTACTGCACGTACCAGCATTATCTAGCCCCAGTTTTCATTATTACTTTGCGTCATTCCATGGGAAAGGAGACTTGGTGAATGGGGGCAAATGCTGATACTCTGGGTGATGGTTAAATGTCAACTTGACTGGCTTAAGGGAGACCTAGTATACTTGTATACCTTAATAATGGCTTAAAACATTATTTCTGGGTATGTCTGTGAGGGTGTTTCTGGAAGAAATTGGCATGTGAGTCGGTAGATCGAGTTGGAAGATCTGCCTTCAGCGTAGGTGGGCACCATTCAGTTGGCTGGAGGCCTAGACAGAACAAAATAGCAGAGGAAAGGCAAATTCATCCTTTCTCTCTCCTGGAGCTGGGATACCTTCTTCTCCTACCCTTGGACATAGGAACTCCAGGTTCTCACCTCTGGACTCTGAGACTTGCACCAGTTCTCAGGTTTTTGTCCTTGGATTGAGAGTTATACCATCTTTTCTCCTGAATCTCTGGCCTTCAGAGTTGGACTGAGCCATGCTACTGGCATCCTTGGGTCTCACGCTTGCAGAGAGCCTATCATGGGACTTCTCAACCTCTATAACTGCATGATCCAATTCCCCTAAAAATCCCCCTTCCATCCCATCCCTCCCTCCATCTATCCTATTGGTCCTGTCTCTTAGGAAAACCCTCATACATTCTGGCCACTGCTATTGCTATGAGGAATTAAGTCCTTTGTCTCCAACCCAGAAGTTATGTGTCTTCTTCCAGCATCCGTAACACTGTGGGCGGCCACCTTGTTAGCCTGCTAATAGTGGAAAATTTCAGACCTTTCACAGTTTCTGATCAACCCTTAAAGTACAATAATTAGGGGTGTAAAACATGCCCCCTGGGTGAAGGGCTGGCTCTTCTACAAATGGAACTTTACCCTGGAAGTGAGAACAACATAACCTAAATATTGTACCCTCATATTAATTTGAATAAAGCTTTTTTTCTTTAAAAAGTACAATAATTAGGAACATTAGGAACAGAGAGCTATCCAAAGCCCAATGGGTAGATGGTCCTCTTAGAAGACTTCACGTGACAGAAATTTCAGTAGGTCTCTCTGCCTTCTTTTCTACCTACCATGAAGAAGGAGAGGTGCCAAAGTCCAATTTTAGGACTCATGAAAGCAACCCGGAGCTCCTGGTAATCAGATACTTTCCACAATGTACAGACAGATAGGCATATTTCTAAAATGGACCACTATATTTCCCTGCCTTCCAAGGAAAATACGACACCATCATAATCCCTGATGACTTGATTCATTATAATCTCGGGATGGACCAAAGATACACTTCTAAAAGGAGCACCACAGATGGCAGTCGTAGGCAGAGTACCCAAATTGGTGAACATCAAACTTAACTAAAGTTCATGTTCTAATGAACTAAAAGTTACAACAAATTTAACCTGACATTTAAAGGTATGCCTTAGTTATTAACCTGTGATAATGAACAAGCAGATTATGTGTAACTGTAATTGGTGCTATGTTAAAATAGTAGAGCCAAGGCTATTTGAGGCAAGCCGGACAGAAGGGGAGAAACAGATAAAAGTTAGCTCCTCTGAAGCCACTGTCAAGATCTCTGGCTCTGTATATAGCCCAGGGAGACTGAGGCAGATGACTTATATGCCTAGATAATCCTGAACTATTGTATTCAGAGATGTTAAAACAGCTGGAGCAGCTTGGCCATAGGGATAAAAAAACATTCAACCCTCCTATCACTCTTGTTAAATTTACAATTAGATTTCAAAATAGCTGTACCATGACACAATTTATTCTTCATACCTGTATGATGCCAAGCCAAAAGAAAATCAAATTTCAATGGCTTCTTTTCCTTGAAGGACCAAGATATTCTTTCATACTTCTTAGAATCCAGGTTAAAGGATAAATCCATCAAATCAATGGAAATGACTTTAAAAATGAAAAAAAGGGCATATATAATTAATTCATAGATATACAGCTTACACCAAGGAGAAAGTATTATATTTTTTAAAAAATTGGAATTTTCAGAAATTTTATGAATAGTAAAATTATCTGGTTCATCTTGCACTACCTTTGGATTACCAAATCAAAAATGTCACTGAGCGCTGATAACAATAGACTTTTTTTTGCCTTTCCCTAAAAAGAAAAAAAAAATACATGGAACACCTCACAAATTTATGTGTCATCCTTGCACAGGGGCCATGCTAATCTTTTCTGTATCATCCCAATTTTAGTATATAAACTGCTAAAGCAAGCACAACAGACATTTTAAATGCATGTATTTCTCTAGGTCAAACACCAAGGGCAGAGGACCTTGGGAGGTCAACTTTAATCTGTAATACTTATGGATTTGGCAGGCTTAAAGATTGACATTCTAGCCAGACACTGTCAGCAGAACATCTCTCCACTCATAAGTGAACTTCTACTGGTATTTATGACATAGGAAAATCAAAGGGAATTCTTTATGAAAAACAAATTATAAACCCCTATTATGGGCTTATTACTTTGAATTTCTGACCTAAAACATATATAGCTAATGGACTAGTCCAATTCTATGATCTTTAAACATAGTCTTATTAATGAAGAGAAATAGATTTAACAGCATCACACTACCCTCTATGAAGCTCCTTGAGTCAGAAGTTTTACAGATAAGAAAAAGCTATTTTCTAAATAAAGAGATTAGAGGCAATTCAAGTCATTGCTGTAAGAAGATTATAGGCTTATTAGAAACTGATGGAATGCAAATACTTACTGAATTTCATAATCTTTCTGCCAGAATACCGAGATGGACGACCCTGAAGTCCAGTTTCTTCATAAGTGTCTTTATCCAGTGATAAAATTAATTTCCCTATGAATCAAATAATTCCATCAAAGAGAAACTAAAAAATATGACTTATGTTCTCTGACTAAAAGAAAGCAAGGTAAATTGAACAGACAGATTATCAGTGTAATAAACTGCATACAAGGATCTTATTTATAACACAAGAATATCATTTATACATATACAATCTTATTCAAATACTAGGATATTATTTTATACATTGTATGTACAAGAATATTTATAAGAGTGAAACTAGAAATAATCTAAATTTCTACTGAAGACAAATCATGGTACATCGATTCTTTGGACTATCTTCAAGACATCACAAACAGTATATGGACTAATATGGAAAAATGTTTACAATATGAAGCTTGGGAATAAAAGTACATTGAGAAACAATGTAGTATATTGTAATTCATGCTACAACTTTTGGACTTATAGATTTATAAGTTTATAATGTGGAAGAATAAGCATTAAATAGCTAACAATGGGTTCTCCTAAGAAGGAGAGTGAGTTTGGAGAGAAAGGAATAAAAGGGAAGACCTTCGCATTCCTCTATCCGTATGAATTGACTTTTTTTTCACAGTATGTTTTTTTATAATTAAAGAAAGAAAAAAAATGAGTATTGTTACCATTTGGTAGCAGGGCAACAGTATTATCTTCATCAATATTTGTATTGTATGTTAATGCACAGCACGAGCCTATAAAAAGTCCAGAGGAGAAATTAAAACCAAAAAAGCACAACTGCAAAATGTCAGCAAATATTCCCACATGCTAACAAATCTTTCAGGTAATTAATAGTCAGGATCTACCACTGCTCTACCTCACTCAATAAACCAAACACTTTGGCAGCACCCATAATTCAGTCAGCAGGGCGCCGGCCACATAGGGTAGCAGGTTCGAACCCAGCCTGAACCTGCTAAGCAACAATGACAACTGCAA